ATTGGCAGGCAGATCCTTTACCACTGAGCCACCTGGGAAGCCCCCCGGACCAGACAACCATTGAATTACATGTATCACTGGTCCCTGTGGATTCTCTTCTGCAACACGCAGTTGTGCTGGTAGATGGTGACGGGTGAATGCACAAGTCAGGTGAATGGCAGGGGCAGCATTAGGCCATGATACGTCTTAGAGATCCAAAAGGAGGAGGTGGGAGGAAGGGTCTAAAGAGAAAGAGGAGATTCCTTGAAACCATACTTCCTTGATGTTTTGTTCTCAATGAACAGAACCCCACCCAAATGCACCAGAAACAGAGGTTTACTGGGCATCCAATTGGGATGGGAACTAAATTCTGTTCTTTTCACTTTTCTCTCCCCACTGCACTTCACTTCCAAAAGCAAACTAAGCACTTTGTCTTTCCCTTTTCGGGTATACATGCAAGTTTAAAGCTGTGGGTAATCCCTCTTCCTTTGTTTTATGCAAGCTCAAGTCATGAGGACTGTGCCCGGAGTGGGGGTTCCTTAAGGTAGATGAAGACCCTGGAAAGCAGCTAGGGAGAGAGAGAGTGTCCCTCAGTCTGGAAAGAGGACAGAACTTGGTGGTCCTCAAGTGGCCAGTGTGACCTCCTTGCTTGTTGAAAGTGCCTGAAGCTGATAAGACCTTGAAGGGGATGACTTTATGGGGCACCTGGTGGGGATACAGCCAAGTCCTTATGGTTCCCAGGCTTGGCAATGGAGCACAGGAGCAGACGAAGTAGCAGTAATTAAGGCACCATGCAACGGTGGACCATGGGCAAACTGGGGGTAACTGTTACTGAGGGAAGAAAGAAGGCCCTTTCCTGGGATGCTTTGCTTTGCATAACATTTCAGAGGTTTGTCTGACCGTGAAGAGGTGGGGTAAGTAGCAAAGAGCTGTATAAAAATGCCTGAATTGGGGACTTCCCTGATGGTCCAGCAGTCAAGACTCCACTCTTAGAATGCAAGGGCCAAGGGTTCAATCCCTGGTCAGGGAATGAAGATCCCTGCATGCTGCATGGTGTGGCCAAATTAAAAAAAAAGCAAAAACAAAACTGAAATGGTGCATTCCTATTGAATGAAGTGATCGAGAATTAGGGCCTAATATCTTTGATTAGAGTAATATTGAGAAATGAGCTACTTCTGGTTTTTGAGCCTGGAGCTGCAAATTCACATTTGACATTTGAGAGGTGTCAGAATAAAGCCCAGAAAAAGACAAAATCAGGAGCCACAAAGAGCTGGGAGCAAGGGGACCCATGGCCTTCAACAGGAGGAGTCTGTGGAGGTAGGCTCCAAGGTCCAAGTCAGATGCGCAGCACTACGTTGCATTGCAGAGAACAAAGCATGAAAGAGCAAGATACTGGCTGAGGATTTCACACTGTTGAGAACACTCTTAAGGGGGCAGACTGCCTGGTTTGAATTTTGAGTTTTCTATTTATTAGTTGTGTAACCATGAGTAAGTCCTTCCTTCCTCCCACTCTCTCTCCCTCCTTTCCTTCCCCATTTCTTTTTTCTTTCTTTGATAATAATGCTAGGATTGTTGAAAGGATTACTTACAGGACTTCTGGCCATGTGATGAGTACTCAGTAAAGATTAGCTAAAGCTAGTATGATTGTTATTTTCTGCATATCTGCTTCCTGGTGTTTTTTTTTTTTCCCTTTATACTGAGAACAATACCATGTAGAGATAAGAGAACAAACTTTGGAGCCATGCTTCCAGGAATCAAAACAAAATGCTTTAATCATTTAAAATCATTAGCATCATCATCACGGTCATTGAATGGTTGCCGCCCTGGGACTGGGACGTCTATGTTCTCATTTTTTCCTTCATCACTCTCTACCTTTGGCCTGCTGGGACCCCAGCTCACCCTCTGGAGTCCACCACTGTAGGAATCTTAGTTCTTTCCTTTTGGCCCCACGTCCTGGCTCCTTGCAGGGCTCAATTCCCCAATGAGAAAAGGAACCCACATAACTGTCTTCCAGGTCAGCTCACCCAGGGCCTGAACAGAGAACACTTCACTTCCCGGACATGGCTCTTGCAGGGCAGGTAACTCATGACGTTGACCAAGAGGACAGAGAGCCTCTCAGGGTATAAAGTTTACATTTAACACAGCCACTCATCCTCAGGTTCTTCCTCATGATACCATACCCAAGGAGTCTCCCAAGCTTTCCCCAGACCTCCCTGCAGGAGGGCCAAGACGCATGGCCGTTTACTCGTTGGCACAAGTTTTACTCCTCAGTGTGGGTTGAAGAAGCAGGAGGTTGTGTGTGCACACGCAGGCCAGCCGCAGGTAAACCCTGTGTGGTGTGGTCACCCCAAGTGTTCCCTTGACTCCTCTCTCGACCCAGATGGCAGAGAACTCACATGGTGCCACTTCCCCTTCCCCAGGTGACCTCCCTCAGTCTCTCCAGAGCCTTTGGGAACCCATACATATCCCCCTGAAGACACCGATCTCAATTATAATTAGCAGCAAAATTGCTTTAAAAGTTTATCCACCTCAGAATTCTCCCTCTGAACCATTTTATAGTAGAGTGTTAGTCACTCAGTTGTGTCCGACTCTTGCAACCCCATGGGCTGTAGCCTGCCAGGCTTCTCTGTCCATCAGATTTCCCTGGCAAGAATGGGAAACCCACTGGAATGGGTTGCCATTTCCTTCTCCAGGAGATCTTCCCAACCCAGGGATTGAACCTGGGTCTCCTGCATCACAGGCATATTCTTTACCATCTGAGCCACCAGGGAAGTCCATACACTCAGCAATATTCATGTTTTTGATTTTATATTCCCAAAGCAGAAAATCAGATGGGCCCAACTCATCTATTCCAAGGCCCCCTCCTAGTTTCTCAGCCTCAACTAGGAAAGGGATGGAGGCTCATGGGGCAAAAGAGGTTGCCTCCCTAGGATGCGGATTCTGCAGCAGAGCTGGGTGAGAAGACTTCTCATCTTGAGGACACCAGGAGCTCTGTGGCAAGCCCTTGTCTTAACAGTTACCTTTTTCACATGAGGAAAGAATTACTCCTTTATAAAGGCTAGGAAAACCGTGTCTCTGTGCTGTGCAAACTCAGCCAGTTGGAGGCAAAGCTGGTCCAGATTTCTATCCCCTCTAGCAAGTTCATGCCTCGCCAGAGTCCCGCACACCCTGAGGTCTTAGAGAGCTCTAGAACCATTTGTCAAAGTCTAAATGGTGGCCACAGGCTCAGATACACCAGTGAAGCTTCCTCTGACCCCCACTACAAGATGGATTTTATTTTTAATTATAGGCTCTCTTATACCATGATTCTGTCTTTAAGAGCTTCTATGTCTTTATGATTGTATATTCCTCATTTGATTTTTCTTTCATTCAGCACATGCTTATTATTTTTTAATGGAGTATATTTTCTTGACAATGTCATGTTAGTTTCTGCTGTACAACGAAGTGAATCAGCCATGTATAAATATTTATCCCCCCCCCTTGGACCTCTCCCTGAGCCCACCCTGCAATCCCACCCCTCTAGGTCATCACAGGGCACTGAGCCAAGCTCCTTGTGCTACCCAGCAGCCTCCCACTATTTTACACATGGTTGTGTATATATGTCAATCTTAATCTCCCAGTGCATCCCACTCCCACCCCTCCATGTCCACACATCTGTTTTCTATGTCTGCGTCTCTATTCCTGCCCTGCAAATGAACACACAGGTCTCTGCTCTCGTGGAGCTTGTGGTGGAGTGAAGAGTGGAGATGTGGCAACATCACAGCAGGAGGATGGGAGGGCTGAGAAAGGGAGGGCTCCTATATGCAGGGCTCAGTGCAGACCTTCCTGACAAGGGGCACTGCAGCAGAGATTGGGATGAACCAAGAGTGTGCTTTATGACAGTATCTGGGGGAGGAGTGTTCTAGGAGGAAGATCACTGTTAGTTGTTATGTGAGTGACTATTTGTGATCCCATTGACTGTAGTTCTCCAGGTAAGAGTACTGGAGTGTGTAGCCGTTCCCTTTTCCAAAGGATCTTCCTGAACCAGGGATTGATCCCAGGTCTCCTAAGAAAGTACAAAGGCATTGAGACAGGGTTCTATTGACTTGTTTCAGAAAGAGCAAATAGGACAGCAGTGTGGAAGCTGAGTGAGAGGTGTCTGTAAGCCAGGGAATGGGGCCACATAGGATTTTTCCCTGAGTGAGAGAACTCTGGCAGAGGACAGCCAGTGGACTCACTCCAGGCTTCAAGGGACCATGTTGCTTCAGTGCTGAGAACACTAGTTAGGAGACCTTTGCAATTCTCCATGTAAGCAACAATGACTGTGTGATAAGGAGGTAGCAGTGGGGGATGATTCTCTTACTGTGTTCAACCAATGACCTGGGGGGGGGGGTTGTTTGTTACAGAAGCTAGCATGAATGATCCTGACTAATAAAAGCCCTGTCCATCACAGATAAGGTCCCTGTTTTCAGGGGACTTGCTACCTAGGTGAGAACACAAACACTAACCAAAGTTCATTTCTTGCTCAAAATCCAGTTTGAGTTAGATAGCTCTGGTGGGAAGTTTCTTCCAGGTTGTTACTCAGGAATTCAGACTCTTTCTATATTATGTCTTTACCATATTGAAAATTTTCACATCCAGCCATGAGGATGGAGGAAAGATAGAGAGATCTAAGAAAGAATGCAGCCAGAGGACCTCAGAGACTCAGAGGACACATCTGGGGGAATGAGGCAGTGGTGAGGGGCTGGATATTCAGCCTCTGTCCCTGCTTTCATCAGAACAGTCTCACTTTTAACTGTTCCGCATATCAGGGTTTGGCATAGGATTTTCTTTTTTAGATGGATTCTCTTGCTGAAATTTGAAAAACTCCATATTTCATGATAATCCCAAGATTCTAGAATTTCCACTTATGTGTTGGGGAGGGGGCATGGGGGAGAGTTGTCCTCAAGATCATTTGTTGTTTTTAATTCAAGTTCTAAAAATGATGGGAAAGCTGGTCTCTTTCACTCAAATAGTAATCAAAAGTTTGGTCTCTGTTTCAGAATGAAAGTTTGAAATGGTCTAGAAAATACCAAAGGGACAAGCTAATGACCGAGCAACCAAGGGAGTGTAAAGAAATGCTGTCCTGTGGCTCCGATGCCCAGGACCCACAGAGGGGCACCATGCCCTGTCCGTCCTCGAGCCCTGGCACTGCTTCCTGAGCCCTCTCACTCTGCCAGGTCTGCATTCTTCTTCCCCTCCCCTCCCCTCAACAACCATCTGAGCTGTGGGGGACCACAGGGGGTGGGTGTCACTGGTATCTTGTCTGCCAGAGTGATAGAATGACTAGCATTTTTCAGCTCATTCCTCCCAAACCCTTACTTGCAATCGCTCTGATGTCTACCTTGGAGAAGAGAGAAGAACTGTTCCTCTGAATCACTGCTCCCTTATCTGTGGATCACTGGCTTGGGGGAAAGTATTGGACCTAAAAAGATCTTGTGGCTCGACTCCCACCATTATCTGTACAACAGTGGGCGATTCTATTAACTCTCCCCCAAATTCTAGTAGTTGAGAAGGGACCATTTTTCAGCTTCTAAAGATGAGAAAACCAAGGCAATGAAAGGGGATGCTGTCTATAAATTCTCTGTGGGAATGATTCTATAGCATATAATTCTCAGATGATTTGATTAAAATCTAATATTGATTTCAAATTTTAATTCATGCCTTCCAAGTAATCATCATTATGTTGAACCTGATCAGAAGTCTTGGTTTGGACTTTCTTCTTTTCTTTAATTGAAGTACAGTTGATTTGCAATGTTGTGTCCATTTCAGGTGTATGGTGGGGGTCTGTCATCTTGGTACTGAGTCTCTTAGAGGGAACACCCACCACACAGACTGCAGCCACATCGGAAGTGCAACTGATAAAGGTACTGTCACCACCACTTTGGACACTTGGAATTAGCAAATGTACAGAGCTCAGAGGTTCTTAAATTGTCCTCAGGACCACACTCAAGCAGTGTAAATTTTCCTGATGATCAGAGTAAACAGCCAAGTCCAAGTCCTCTCTCCCAGGGTCCTGAAGTTGAAAGCAGACCAAGGCATGACTAGTCATACAATTTTATACAATGCAATTGTCAAAAACTGCACCATAATTTGTAAAATCCCGTCACAGTAACTATGGCTTTGGATACAATACAGAATTAAAAACTGGGTCAACCATCCCCAGGCCCCACCCTATGGTTGATGCATTCATCCATTTACGTAATCAGCAGACACCAGTCAAATATCTATGACATGGAAGTCACCACAGAGAGAAAAGAGAGGGTGGCTGCCCAGGGGACCCCGGCCCATTGTCCTTGTTGGCCCCCGTTCCAGGGCAGGAGGATTAGGGGTCCGTTGGGAGTTGAAGGGCCTTTTTTTTTTCCATTGGGCGGATTTTTTTGATTTTTTTTTTCCTTTACCGGCTTGTTCAATTTTGCCGTTTTGAAAATTTGGGGTTTTTTTGTTTTCTTGGCCCGGGGTTTTGCCTTAAATTCTTCCTTTTTTTTTTGTTTTTCCTTTTTTTTTTAAATTTCAGCAGGCTATAAACAACAAGGGGTGTTTTTTTTCTATTGTTCTATAACTATTTCTTGCTCTTGGAAGCCCTTCACCTTGTGCATGTAAATTCTTAAAGTGGTTATATTGTTGTTCAGTCACTCAGTCATGTCTGACTCTTTGTGACCCCATGAACTGCAGCAGGCCAGGCTTCCCTGTCCTTCACTATTTCCCAGAGTTTGCTCAAACTTACGTCCATTGAGTCAGTGATGCCATCCAACCATCTCATCCTCTGTCACCTCTTCTCCTCTTGCCCTCAATCTTTCCCAGCATCAGGGTCTTTTCCAATGAGTTGGCACTTCACATCAGGTGACCAAAGTATTGGAGCTTCAACTTCAGCATCAGTCCTTCCAGTAAATATTCAGGGTTAATGCCTATGAGTTGAACATTTAGAATGCAATCAACTCTAAGATAGAAGCTTCATTCTCGGGGGTGTCACTAGGGTAGAAAGGCAGGCACATACCTACAGGACCATTCTCTCCCTGGGAACCAGGCCAGAGCTGAGGCCTCTTGGGGTTGCCTGTGCTGTGACCCTCACCAACTTTCTGGGCCCTTGGAAGGCACAACAATATGCAGAGAGTACTGATCAATAACCAAATTGGCAGTTTTGGCTGAAGTTGGAATGTGGGTTGGGTTGGGTTGGGCTTTGCCATCCCAGATTAAAAAAAAAAAAAAAACAAAAAGAAATAGTTAATAGATTAAAGCAGTCCATGGTTTATGTTAAAATTGTTGAACTGAAGCCATGAGGCAGACACTGTCTAGCAAGCAAACTCTTTGGGTCTGTTCATTACCGAACCTAATGTGTAACCAATTACACAACCGAATGTTTCAAACTAAGCTCAGATGGAGGAGTTTGCCCTCCTCAGTCTGACTCTCCCTTTCTTTTCCTCTCTATGTCACTTTCACTGTTTCTTTTTTGAAATATAGGTCCAATGGAAAAGTGTATCATTTTGGATGAGGAAAAGAGAAGGGTTCTGACTTTTTTTGGACCTCAAAAGATATCAAAGGCAAAGCCTAGAACTTTACCAAGGACCATTTGGAAGCCTCCACCTTCCTACTCCCATTAATGCTGTTTCCTCCCCCTCCTATCAGATTGCCAGCTCCTGTCTCACCTCTGCAGGGGAAGAGGTGAAAGCACCCAGGCAGGGGGGAGGGGGCTGGCAGAGTCCCAGGCTCTTCCACTTAACACAATTGATACCTTGGTCAAATGCCTGAACATATCCGAGACTCAGTTAACCTATCCATAAGTAGGCATAGTGAACTCTACCTCAATAGGGTGTTATAAAAACTAAAAGGCATAAGGGCTCTAAGGCACCACCAGGGTGTCATGTGTCATGCCTCCCAACCTCATGCCTGACAGTACTGGGTATCTGGTAAGGCTTATTGTGGGACCAGAGGGCAAATAGGCTCAAGCCATCATTAGCTGGCAGATTTTCTATGGATGAAATGATCAGCTTCTGATTATATTGGATGCGAATGAAGGTGTCTGGGTTGTATTCTCCAGCTGGGATCTGAAGAGTGGTCCTAAGTATCTCCCATCAGATCAGACTCAAGGATGCTTTCTGTTAAGAGTTTAGGCCACATAAGCAAGGCACAGATACTAGCAGGACCGGAATTTCAGTTTATACTATTCATGTTTTCTAGGGGCCCATCTGAAGTAAGGATGCTATTTGGGATGGGCTTTGGGTTGATTGGAAAAGGAAAGGGACTTGGTTGACAAGAGGCTGTAAGATGGAGCCAAAAGGACCCCTCGCTCAATGTGGCATAGCCAGGATCGTCTGGGGAGAAGATGAAAACACTGTGAGCTACTTGCTTTAATAAATGAGAAGTGTCCACACATTCTAGCTTGCTGGTTTGGAGACACCAGAATCTGCGAGAAGAAAGGTGAGGTGGTTCTGCAAGGCAGTCCACCTTGTTAACTTGGCTCCCATGGGTAGGCCGGTCCTGCAGAGGGCAGAGGGCTTCTAAGTGCCACCAGTGACCGCTGATCACAGGACGCCCTAAGTGAGGCCTTCTCCTTTCCTTCCCTCTGCCACTTAATCCCGTGTGCTCTGGGAGAGCCCTTCCCTCTCCTGGGTCTGTTTTCTGAAGTATAGCGTGAGGATCCCCACTACACCTGAGGTGAGCATCTTTGCTGGGGGTTGGTGACCCAGCCTTCAAGGGGTAAGCCCTCTCTTGAGTCAAATGTTCACAAGAAAACTATCAAGGACCAGGTGGGGCCCCAGAGAGTCAGGGGTGTGAACAACCCCTGCCACTCTGCCTGGAGTCCTTTCTGGGCTAAGGCCATCTGTGCGTTCCTGGGCCAACCGTCAACCCGTAGGCATCCATGCTTCTCTTTCAAGGAGGGACACGGCCCTCAGTTTAGCGCTGGGCCTGGGCAGCATTCTCCAGTTCAGCTGGCCACATGCTCGGATAACTGAGCTGATGGTTTGCCCAAAAGTTCTCAGTTCCAGCCTACCCCTTGGGCTTCCCCTAAGCCCACTCCTCCCATGGTTCTCCAAAGTTTAACCTGCAGAGACCAATGGTCCAATAAGATCCAGTTTGGCCTGGGCTGTGCTTCAGATGTACAAGATAGAAACACTCCAGGATGTTTTTAAGGAATTTCCTTCTCCAAGTTACACTTTTCCCTTGTTGTGTATTAGTTTTGAAAGAAGAATAGAGTCCACACATGCAGGGATTTCTGAAGATTTACTCAGTATCTTAGAGGAGAAAGTAGAGATTCTTTGATAAAACTTTAGAGGGGGTCCCTACATCTCAGGACTTCAGGAAATGGGTATAAACTCCCCTGTGTAAAGGGCTTTCCAGGTGGTTCTAATGATAAAGAAACCACCTGCCAATGCAGGAGACTCAGGGGACCCAGTTTTGATCCTTGGGTCGGAAAGATCTCCTGGAGGAGGGCATGGCAACCCACTCCAATATTCTTGCCTGGAGAATCCCATGGACAGAGGAGCCTGGCAGGTTACAATCCATAGGGTTGCAAAGAGTCAGGCACAACTGAAGCGTCTTAGTACATACACACTCTGTGTAAAACCACAGGAGAGCCTGATCTGGAGCTTCATATTTTATGTTCCATAGGATCTTGGAAGAAACACCCAGACAGCTGCAAGAACAATGCCTCAAACACAATAAGATCTTGTTACAGCTGATATTTATTTAGTTCTTGCTCTGGGTGGGGCTCTATTTTAAGCACTACTTGCTTATTAACTCATTTAATCCTCATAACAGTCCTCAGAACTAGTTAAGTTATTGGATGCACAAGGCAACTCTTTGCTGCCGAATAAAGATGAGATTTCCATTTTTTTCTTTTTGCAAAACATGACACTTAGAAGATGTTCCACTTAAACCAATTCAACAACCTCATGCCCCAGTGCATAAGTTCTGGAAGCAAGAAATCTTTCCCTGAAAGAATTTGACTTCCTATAGGGAAGTAAATCATCTGTCTTTCATACAAAGAATTGAGAGGACACAGAAGAAATACCAAGTATGTGAACAAGTGAGTCACCCCTCTGTGCTTCTATGCCCAGAGCAGACATCACTAGTCAGTCAGAAGCCTTCTTTCTTGATGAACCCAGATTCAGCCTCAGGATTCTTCTCAACATCATGTCCCTGGAAGCCACTTTTAGTGATTCTGTCACTGTTTTTTGACATCCTTGGGATGTGCTTTTACAGAACAAAGGTTTGCCTGTATCCTTTCTCAGTACGTCTGCTGGTAGCTCTGGGAAAGATGCAGATAGGATTCATTATCTCCAAAATAGAAGGCAGAGGAGTGATGCCCAGAGAGGCCAAGTGGCTTTCCTAAAGTTACACAGTCACTTTGGGGCAGTATCTAGTTGGTCTCATTCGGGACACATGCCTGCCGCTTGGCCAGTTGAGCTGAGACACCTTAGTGTTCAGCCCATTAGACTGCAGGTGTGGGAGAAGAACTCATTCCTAAAGAGACACCCATGCACTTTTACAAAAACAAAACAAAAAACATTTTTTGCTAAATATTGAAGAATCAAAAAAAGTTCTCCTGTAGCCTGAGTATGATTTTGATACAACATAGCTCCACAGTATCTTTTTAGCTTGAACTTGAACTCATCTCAAGTTCTCAGTTGAGTTTCAGCATTGGATCTGTTCCTGGTCTTGGCATTTCAACACCTACCATAAAAAAGTCTATTTACTTCATTTTATTTAACACTTTTTAAGAATCATGTGAGGCACTTCTGGGTGAGGAAACTGAGACTTAGAGACTTAAGAAATGCATTCAAGGTCACTCACCTAATAGGTTCTAAAACCGGATCAAGAGTCTTCTCAAGGTCTTTCCATAAAGTCTAAGATCCATTTATGTATTAAATAATTAATTCACTCATCATGTGTTGAGCACTGAATGCCCTTTAGACTTGCCTTCATTTGTGACTTTGCTCATAAAGGCCATCCCTTTAGGAGTAGCTCTATCTCATCTCCATGGAAACCTAACCCATCTTTCCAGACCCACTCTCTGGGTACCATCTTCAGACAGAAAATGATTTTCTATTGTTTCAGCCTCTGTTTGAGCTCTTCTGGCACCACTCCATCCGGTTAGTGTGAGAATCTTTGTTCACTCTTTCCTCACCCTGTCTCCTTACCCTAAGTTCCTGCAGGCTGCTGCTATGTTCCCCTCGTTAAAACACAGAGACCCACAAGCTGGAAAACTCAGTAATGGGGGCTGATCTAAGCTACTGAGGTGGGACTATTTGAAGTTGCCAATAACCAACCATTTTTTAACCTGCAAAAATTGTCATTTCATGTAGTTCAACCAAAATAAATTGCATCTGACCTTATTGGGGTTTATCATTTATCAATAAGCAATCTGGACTTTATACACTGGGATTTGTGATCTCCTATGCTCAAGATATTTCCTCATTGTAGCACCCTGTTATCAGAGAAGCATAGATTCTACTTTTAGTTTTTCAGGTTAAGCATCTTAAAAAGGTAAAGCCATATACAAAAGTAAAGAGAAGAAGATACTGAAGACCCAGACACTCCTCAACCAGCTTCAAGACTATCAAATTCATATTCAGTCTTATTTCATTCCTAAACCCCCTCCCCCACCCACTGCCTCCTTTCCCCATGCCAATTATTCTTACTCAACTCCCAGATACCAAGATATCAAAGTATTGGAGAACAGTTCAGCATGTGTTTCTAAAACACAAGCAACGTTTTAAAAATATATATATAGCCAAAATATTTTAAAATAAATTAATGACAATTTCTTAATATTGTCAGATTTAGTGTGTGTGCACACACACACACACACAGACATACACAGAGAAGAAACACTTGACATATATATATGTCACTTGACATATATATCCAATAAAGTACAGTCAGACAAAAGATAGTTTGAAGCAGGGTCTAAATTAGCTTCACATTGTGTTTGGTGGACATTCCACTAGGTTTCTTTCCGTCCTTAAGTTTTCCCTCCCAGATACTGCCTGAACCAAACAGTTCTCTTACAGTCTCCATTGACTCAGTGGAAACTGGGGCCCTTGAGGTTAACCGGGTTGTGTCCAATGTCCCAAACCAAGCCAGTGACACAGGCCAGGGATGGAGCCCAGATGTCGGGCGGTGCGAGCCTCCCCATCCCTCACCCGGAGGCCCCACCCAGGCGCGCTCCGGAGGCGGAGGCCCATCCTGGGTCAGCACCACTGCCCCCTGCAGATCACCACTTCCTGTTTATCTTTCCAGGAGGCAGCGAGCACTGCTGTGAAAAGGGTTCAATGGGTTTCCTGACACACAACGCCCCTAAAAGGCAATATTTTGATGATTTAAGTATAAATGACCAGAAACATGTGGATTTCATTTCCTTCAGAATACACTTGGGTATGAAAATTAAGGGGAAATGTGCTTGGCAAAGTACAGCCCGGGCTTCCTCAACCCCCTGACGGGGTTTAAGATGTTTAGCGAATCTGAAGTGTGGTTCCCCTTTTTCTCTGCACTCTCCCACCAGGCTCATGCTCATCTGGACTGGGCCTGCTACCGCGCGGGGCTGGGACCTTGTTAAGAAAGGCAGAGGAAGAGGAGAAGCAGGAAAAAGAGGAGGCGGAGATTCTGCTAACTGGGCTCTGCCTTGCCCAGAAGAAAGCTGACCTGTCTTCAGAATCAGCCCAAGGGAAGTCCTTCCAGGTCCCCCTGCCCTATGTCCTTAGGGACCAGCCACACTCTGGCCACCTCTTCATTTCTTCTGAGGAATAACCATGTGGAATCACACAAGAGGCAAAGCAAACACTTGGGGGGTTTTCCCCTTCTTTACTAGGGTTAAAATAGCGTTGATTCCAGGACACAGGTAGATGGTCTCCAAAGCTCCAGATAATTCAGGTCACTAGGCAACCATACTTTCTGGTGTTGGAAGAGGAAAGGCAGAAAGAGGTTCTGAAGAAAGGAGACTGCAGTGGAGAAAGAAAGAAGGAAGGGAAGGCAGAAAGAGAAATGGAAGGAGAGGAAGGGGAAGGAGGGAATTTGTGCAGTGTTGAGCGGGAAAGGTGGCCTTGGGATTACCAGTCAGGGTTGCTGACCCTAAAACAGGGTTTGGGAACTTTCCTAGTGGTCCAGCTAAGACTCCACGCTCCCAATACAAGGGACCTGGGTTTGATTCCTGATCGGGGGACTAGATCCCACATGCTGCAACTTAGGATCCTGCATGCTGCAACTAAGACTTGGTACAGCCAAATGAATAAATAAATACTTTTAAAAATAAAATATTGTCTTGGTCAGCGAGTTATTTCCAGACCTCCCTCTTTTGGTGCACACTACAAATAATGCAAGGAGCAACATTGTGTTGAGGGGAAATTTCATAAACCAGGACAGACTTCCTTTCTCTCTGTTTTTTGTTTTAATCATCACAATCAGTAAAAATGTCTCCAGAGGCCTTGCTGCTTGTTCTGAGGAATGGACACTAGACTTCTCTGTGTCCTGGGACACTCAACATGGTGAGGGCCATGCAGGATCCCAGAGCAACCACCCATGTGGTCAGTAATCACGGGTGGGGCCTCCCAGGTGTCCCAGCCAGATCAACACAGAGGTGGGCACATCCCATGTGTTAGGCATTGTTGTGGGGGGGGGGGGGCACAGGGAATGGGATAGAGGATAAGAAAGGCTGGGCTTCCATTCCTGGAGGCTTGCATGTGTGATAAGTCACTTTAATCATGTCCAACTCTTGGTGACCCTATGGACTATAGCTCGCCAGGCTCCTCTGTCCAAGGGATTCTCCAGGCAAGAATACTGGAGTGGGTTACCATTTCCTCCTTCAAGGGATCTTCCAGATCCAAGAATCAAACCCTGCATCTCTTGTGTCTCCTGCACTGGCAGGCAGGTTTTTAACCCTAAGTGGCACCTGGGAAGCTCTCCTTGGGGCTTGGGGCTTACATAGGACAAAATACCTTTTTGGTGGGGCAGTGGGAACAGAGCAGAAAGATCATATTCCCAGTCACATGCTAGCATTAGTCAAGGTAAAAATGACTTGACTTCAGGTTCCCCTGAAACAGATGTCCAGACAAGAGGAGATTTTGGGGACAAGTGATGTAGGTGGGATGACTCCAGGAAGCAAAGTGAGGGTGGGCAAAAGTGAGACAGAAAAGCCAAAAAAGCCTTGTCAGTGAAGGCCAGTGCTGTGGGCAGCTGAGGCTCAGTGACATTGGGGTTCCATGGACACCTCTAGAGCACCCCTAGGACGGTCCCAGCAAGAGGTGAGCAGCTGGGATGTGTGTCCTCCAGTTCATTGGTGAGGGGACACTCCTGGGGCTGTAAACTTCCAGCTCTCTTGTCCTTCCTCCCTAGGAAGGACACTTCCTAGGTCCCTAGAACATCTTCGGGTGGGAAGCTTTGGGTTGGATGGAACGGTCTATGGGTGGCCTCCAGGGTGGGTCCAAGGGAGTCTGAGCAGGGGTTCTATACTAGCTCCAGCTTCCAAGCAGACACCAGCATTTGCCCAGATGAGCAGAGAGGAATCTGGGGGTGGGAGATGGAGGGCGAGTAGCAGAGACCAGGAGACGTGCTTCTCCCAGCAAGAGATGGGGTAGCAGCCCTACCCCTGGGCAGCCTCACACACTGGTGGGTTTGGCCCCAATTCAAGTCACCGCAGCGCCCTGGACTCCAGCTCTTCTGCCCAGAACCAGGCACAAGAAATAGGAAAGTGCTTTTCCCTGGGCTCTAGGTGGCCTGGATCAAGTTCACAGTCATTACAAGGAAATGTGGAGCATAATTGTGTATGAACCTTCAGTGGCCACATTCATGAGAGGAATCACTGGCAGATGTTTTGTTTTTGTAGAATTTTCATGAACGAGGGGCATTACCGTCCATTATTCATTTCCTTTCAATTGCAGTGAATAGTTTCAGTGACAAATATCAAATTTCTGTATTTACAGAAAACCGGCACATGTGTTGATAATGGTGCAATCCAGTATTTACTCTATAAAGTGCTGACTTGTTTTTCATTAATATAGACATTTGGTAATTATTACTATAACTATTCATTAAAATGTGAAAGTAGCTAAATAAAAAGTTGATAGGCCATTTATTCTGTGTTCCCATGGGGGGAAAAAGTAGCCAGTTTCTCTTTGATAATCCTCATTTTTTTAGATTTTGGACAATTCAACTTCTATCTGAATGAGCAATCTGGAGAAAGCACATCCTTGGCACATGGCAGATGATCAATAAAAATACTTTGACAAATGTTTATTGGTTGACAAGGCTCCTAAAAATCAGCTTTATCCTTAAATCCTCTAGGCAGAGTTAATATCAGTCCATGAAGTTTCCACCACAGGTACAGGCACTGCATCCATGCTAGGTGACAAGATGAAGCCTGGATGCACAGTAATCGCTCGATCACATCTTCAACTTGGCAAAGATCTTGAGTAGGATCATTTTAAAAAGCACTTTAAAGGACCAAAGGTAAATAACTTCAGTGTCTCATAAGAAAATCCTCCAAGCTGATTGAATAAGGGCTCCCATGTCTGGGCCTTGTAGCCTAGGAAAAATGTACCTATAACCACAGTCCCTTCATTCATTCATTTGTTGGTTCATTTATTCATTCATGAATTCTGATGGAGTCTACTGCAGGAGGGTAGCACACGGGGTGGTAAGGAGCCAAAGAAGAACAACATACAGCCCTGTCCTCCAGGGACCCAGGGCTTAGGGATAAGGGGATCTTCATATTGGAAAGGGTCAGGGATGACAACGGATTTTGAACCTATCCCCTCAGGTGAGCAAAGGCAGCTGTGCTGTTGGGCTTATTCGCTCAGTCGTGTCTGACTCCTTGCAACCCCATGGACTGTAGCCCACCAGGCTCCTCTGTTCATGGGGATTCTCCAGACAAGAATTCTGGAGTGGGTTGCCATGCCCTCCTCCAGGAGATCTTCCAGATCCAGGGATTGAACCCAGGTCTCTTGCATTACAGGCAAGATTCTTTACCATCTGAGCCCCCAGGGAAGCCCAAGGCCCATGAAGATCTGGAGGTTCTGTGCCGGAGGTTGGATCTCTTTCATTCTCCATTTTGACATTGATTTACTAAGTGCAGTGAGTGCAGGTACATACAGGTGGAGGCCCAAGAGATGGACGTCAAAGTGATTGTATCAGTTTCAGGAGTCCAGTTGTAAGTTAGGAACCCTTGTTTACAGATATTTACTCTTGAATCTAGTAGAAATGAATGATTGGTCCTGTAAGTTTCTGAATTAAAACTCATGTCTCCCAACTTTCTTACATTTTCAAAGTTTATATATATATATATATATATATTTCTATTTGTGCATATGTATATATGTGTATATATATATTTATTTATAGTGTATGTATGTAGATATGTTTGTAGAGTTTCCTGGGATGCAAGGCCCAAAGCCACAACAGCCTTTTCAATTGACCCAAAGGCTTCACCTTGGACTTGGTCCTGAAAATTAGCTTTTTAAATTTTTGTTGTTGTTGTTGTTGTTTAAACAGCAGCTGCTTCCAATGACTTTTCAAGTTTTGCTTCCTTGTTGCTAACACTCCAAAGCAGTCTAAAAACCAATTTTACACTTAATAAAGTTTAACTATTCAATATTTTTCATTTTAAAACTAAATAACAGACATTTAAAAGAATATTTCTTTTTTAATGACACTCATGCCACTATTTTATAAAACCAAATGACATCCACTGTGCATTCCTATCTCTTTAACTGCCAAATACTCTATTAGTCAAGTTTGCTCATATTTACAAGATTTTGGAGCGGGGGGATGTTTTACTGCTATCAGAAGATCTAACATCTGTTTCTCCAGGGATTCTCCATGTGTTCTGTAGTTTGCAACAATTGAAACCACTGTTTTCAAAATGCGTTTGGATTAAAGGCAATGTACTAAGACTGGATTTCACTTCACAGGAGCCTTGCACATACATCTGGGGCTCTCACTTGTGTAATTTTTCTGAATGGCAAGACATTTACTCTGGATTTAGGTAGGTGGCGTGCAATAATAGCAGAGCCCAGTGGAGTGCTTGTGTAAAATAATGTAGGCGAGGGCACTTGGGTGTGGGGAGAGTTTTCTGGGCATCTGTTTCTGCCTGGGGCACCACATTGGAAAGGGTGTTCCCTTGGTTTTGTTGCTTTAGAACCCAGAGCAGCAGGGGCCCCTCCAGTTCATCTCCTTGAATTCAGGCAGGAGGAGGTCTTACCTAGCTATTTATCAGCAACACTGTCTAGTAGAATTTTCTGCCATGATAGAAATGGTCAATTATATATTTGCACTGTTCCTTTGATAATAGGATGATGTTGCTTCTAACCCCATGTGGTTATTGAGTACTTGAAATATGGCCAATGAGACTGAAGAACTGAGTTTTTCTTGTATTTAAATTTTTTAAATTTCAATTTAAATTCTAATATCCAGGTGGCGCTAGTGGTAAGAACCTGCCTGCCAGTGCAGAAGATGTAAGAAAGGCAAGTTCCATCCCTGGATCAGGAAGATCCCCTGGAGTAGGGCATGGCAACCCACTGCAGTATTCTTGCCTGGAGAATCCCAAGGACAGAAGATCTTCAGTCCTCTGGCGGGCTACGGTCCATAGGGTCACAAAGAGTTGGACACAACTGAAGGAACTTAGCATGCACACATCTGTTTATAGCTAGTGGCTACCACATCATACCATGCATAAAGAACTTGGTCATGCTAAGTCAGTCATCCTTTGACGTGTCTGGACTTAGGCATCAACTCATGGGAGCAAATAGCACCATTGGCCCAAAATATTTACTACTGTGCCCAGTGCCAGGCTAGGTGTCACTCATGCAGATCAGGAAAAGGAGCTCTTCCTAAAGATATTTTTCTCTTATTTGTTACAAAGTGACATCATAATATGCAAAGCTGCCATGTCAAGGCTATGGCAGGCACCCCCTAAGCTTCTGCTCAACCATATGTAAGAGTCTCCTCTCCAGGTGATTCCAGATACTTGGATATGGGCAGAGGCTGCAGGCTGCTGGCTCCAGAAGAACAGAGGCTAGATGACCCTCACTGCACACCCCAGGACATTAAGCAGGAAGCTAGACAAACCACAAAGAGGCTTGGTAAGGAGTTGACTCTGGGAAGTCTTCTTCCTGACCAGAAGCCCATTTCCTAGAGGT